ATGATTGGGTGAAGGGACTGCAAAAACTGTAGACAGATGGTGGACTGTAGGTGTATCCAAGGTTTGAGTTAGAGTTTGTGTTGGATGAGGCATAGTTGACAATGTGAAGATCGTGTCCTACACCAAATATGGGTCCATAGCTAGAACAACTGTATATGGAGTAGCGACCAGAACTATACTTTCCTGTGTGAGACAGTTTCACTGGTCCCCAGCCTGGCTTGTTAACCAATGAGAACGAAAAGGAGCTTGAACTGCATTGGTATCTACAATTGGAAGCTAATAAGCAAAATGGTAAAAAAAAGAATTACAAACTATTTCAGTATGAGAGGTAAAGTTGAATATTTGTAACACAAGGCCACAGAAGCACTTAAAACGAGCATGAAACGTACTCAAACACAAAGAGTTATCTAATAGGTAGTTCTACCACCAGGATGATTTTAACCATTCCTACGAGTTGAGGAATTTTTGTGTAAATTCAAGGAACAGCTTTTCCTAATCAAGCATGATCTTTTGTCGAGACAAAAATATTCCAATCAGATCATCAGACAACAGGAAACCGTGTTGACAAAATCTCTTTTCAGGTTCAAGTTGTTTCAGAGGAGAGACCTTTTCAAATAGAAGTCAATTACACGAGTTCTGGAAAATAGTTAGCGGCGAGCAGTTTCATATGTTAAAATAGACACATTTTTCAGTGGAGAGGAAAAGGAGAGTGAAAGTGATCGATGATTCACTTACTCCAAGTTAATTATTCAACAATCGATTCTTGAAGTCAGTTCGTGAACTGTGCTTACAAAAATTAGCGACCGGCCCGAAGATAATTTGCAGATTTAGCAAGTAGAACATTAGTACTAAGTTGGAGTTAAGGCCCGGTTCAAACGCCGAACTTTTCGTGAGCCGAACTCAATTTGAATTTGAATCGACCCAGATTAACAAAAGTATGCCTATATGTGAACGATCCTTCGCAGTAAAGCACTATTTGAGCAATAGTGAAAATCAGACCTGAAAAAAATTTCAGGCCTGTACGGGATTCGAACCACTGACCTCTGCGATACTAGTGCAGCGCTCTACCAATTGAGCTAACAAGCCAACTGGGAGCAGGCCATCAAATTAATTCGACATAAACCCGTAGATGATAAATCAAACAACAACAAACATATGAAACATATGTATGAACTGCGGTTATGA